GGGTGGGGTCTTTAGCCCCTCGCTGCAGGGGCTCACCCCCCCTCTCCCCCCCCCCCCCCCCCCACACACACACATAGGAGCCCTGCCTCGCGGCCTGCTGGCCCAGGCATCTGGAATTGCTTAACTCGGCTGCCCTGATTTGCAGCATTGCCCGGGCAGTGTGCCAGGAATTCCCTGCATTCTAATCCATCCCTTCTATCCCACACACCCGGCTCGCCCACTTCTAATGCTCATTAACCGCAAAACCGCCAAGGAGCGCGGTCTAATTGGGGTCTGCGCTCAGAAGCCAAACCTGCACCGGAGCGAACAGGTGACAGTTCTCAGCGAGCCTGTCTGGACCAGACAGATGTTTCCTCTCCGTCCGACACCCCGCGGGCAGGCGCCGTGTCCCGGCACGCAGGAGCGCACGACCAATACTAACTATTAGTCGCCGATATTCGCCTCCTTGGCCCGGCCCGCCACAGACGGCTTCTGGGCAGACCACCGAAAGAAACCTAGATTCCACGATGAAAGGGGTCAAGCATCCTTCTTGGCAGGATTCCTGCGGGTGAAAGCTACTCTAGCTGTTAGAGGCTGTTCGTTCCATGTCCCACTGACTGACTGACCTCCCCAAGCCCTGCTTTGGGGGCACACCTGGTGTAGCGTAGGGACTACTCCAGCCTGGGTGCTCAGGGGACCATCTGGTTATGTGCCCAAGGCCTTCGAGCTACTCCCTGGCTCTGGCATCTTAGTTCTTTTGGGGGGATAAGTAGCAATGCTCAGGGCTTACTCCTGGCTCCGCACTCAGGGATCACCCCTTACAGTGCTCGAGGGACCATATGGGGTGCCGGGGTGCAAACCCAGGTTGGTCGCATGTAAGGCAAGTGCCCTATCCACTATACTATTCCTCCGGCCCCTATGCACTATTTTTTTTTGAAATTTTATTTTATTTTATGTTTTTGCTTTTTGGGTCACACCTGACAATGCACAGGGGTTACTCCTGGCTCTGCACTCAGGAGTTACTCCTGGCGGTGCTCAGGGGACCATATGGGATGCTGGGAATCGAACCCAGGTCGGCCGCGTGCAAGGCAAACGCCCTACCCACTGTGCTATTGCTCCAGCCCCAATTTTCGTATTTTTTAAAATAAGTTTTATTGTATCACCATGAGATACAGCTACACATTTGCACAATTACGTTTTAGTCACACAATACTCGAGCACCCACCCCTCTCCCAGTGCTCATTTTCCACCACCATTATTCCCACCTGCCATCCCGACCCCACCCCACTCCCTGCCTCAGTGGCAGGTACCATCCTTCCTTCTCTCTAATTTTGGATATTATGGGCTGCTATGTATTTTATCTTATAAATGATTTGTGTAGAGAAGTGTTTTGTAGATAATTCGGAATTTGCTCGAGTGCTAGGAATCTTTCTGAGTTCACTTTATTATTAATATTTTCAATGAATTTACAGGGAGGGGTCAAGGCCATATCCAGCTGTGCTCAGGGGCTACTCCTGGCTCTGTGCTCAGGGATCACTCTGAGTGTGCTCAGGGAACCATGTACAGTGCTTGAGGACATACAGAAGTCTGATCTGACATGGGATGCCGGGGATCAAACCCAAATGGGTCAGTGCCAGGCAATACCTTGCCGGCTGTATATTGCTCCAGCCTCCTGTCCTAGTCTCGAAGTCAAACCCTGACTGGCCTGAAGTGAGGGAGGGGCTTCAGTTCCAGTTCCGCTGCCTTTGTTTTCGAATTGCATGTCTTGCCACAGGAGGGCAGAACAGGAGCAGTATAAAGCAGTGTAAAGGACAGCGACTCCTCCCTTCAGATCAGAAACTCATTCCTGAGCAGTTTTACCAAAATCTCATCAGTCCCTTGCACCCCATTAATTTTGATACGGAAACACATTGCCCCCAATAACCTGGTACTAGAAGAAAAAAAATAACTTCTCCACCCCCCCTTTTGTAGGAGGCTGTTCGTGCCACACCTGGCAGTGCTCAGAGGCTACTCCTGGCACAGTGCTCAGGGGGCTATGTGCAGCCAAGGATCAGAGTGGGGTCAGCTGCATGCAAATCAAGAACCTGAACCCCCGTAATATCTCTCTAGTACCCCAGATAACTTTCTTTCATTTTAAGTAAGCAATTCCCAAGTTAAAAGAAACCTTTTAAAGCCAGGGAGATAGGTGGCTGGAGTGATAGGACAACAGGTAGGGCGTTTGCCTTGCACGCGGCCAACCCGGGTTCGATTCTCAGCATCCCATATGGTTCCCTAAGCACTGCCAGGAGTAATTTTTGAGTGCAGAGCCAGGAGTAACCTCTGTGCAATGCCGGATGTAACCCCCCCAAAATAAAAATAATTTAAAAAAGTCAGGGAGATAGTGTAACAGATACGGGCTTGCCGTGCACACAGCTGGTCCTGGTTTGATCCCTGGCACCCCACATGGTTCCCCCAGTCTTGCCAGGAGTGATTACTAAGCTCCGAGCCAGGATTAAGCCCGGAGAGAAGTGCCCTCCTCAAAAAAAAAAAAAAAAGAAAAAGAAAAGAAATCTTAGATATTAAATTAGTCCTTACTACCAATTTTAAAAGCTTCCATTGATTTGCAGGACTCTAACCAACTATTTAAAAATGAAGGAGAGAGGGATGGAGAGGGGGAGAGAGAGAAAGAGAGAAAAGAAAAGGCAATTTAACACCATCCACTATGAAATATGCACTTGCCACTACAGAGTAAAGGACTTGGATCACTCCTGGCCCTGCACTCAGGAACTACTCCTGGCGGGGTGCTCAGGGGACCATATGAGATGCCAGGAATTAGATTTGGATTGGCTTGCAATGCAAATGTCCTCTTGGCTATACAATTTCTCCAGCCCCAGTGAAGGTTTTCTGTGTTCTTTCTTATTACCAGGGAAAGGTATCCAATTTTGCAATATCCTGAAGGATATTGTAATGAAAGTAAAACTCCGATATCAACAGACCCACTCATTTGCTAGAGATCACTTTCAAAATTTGTCCTCCAAATATTTCCCTCTTTTTGTCTTTCCATTGGGAATATGCCAGACAATGTTTAAGAGTCAAATAACAAGTTTATTAACTTTTTATTTCTGGGACCAAAGACCACCTTCCTTTCCCACAAAAAACTCAGCATGAAACCAATGAATCAAATAATGAAATAAAATAAAATCAAACTGTCCACAATGGCACCCAGAAAAACGTCTTGACCATAAAAGTGTCCCCCACCCCCAGGCCCTCCACAAACCTCACTCCCAGGCTGCCACTATCAGATGGGGCACATGCACATTCGAACCTGTGAGAGATGAATCATGTGGAAACAGTTCTCACAAAATGAGAAGCGGAGATTTTCTATTTTACTCTTTGGTGCTGGGGATTGTACAACCTCTTATTTAAAAAAAAATTATCGCTTTAAATCTCCTTCATTGTTTATAGGTATCATGTAAGTTTTCATGCAAGGTAAATAGTACAAAGGGCAGCTGAATTCACTGGAAGGAAGGAAATTGTACAGAAATCTCAAAGTAAACAAGCTAATCTATAGGAAGTAAGAGATATTTTTAGTTTTGCTAATCTCGCAGATTCATTCAAAACTCCCAGAGAGGATGAGTCTTTGAGAAGCAAGTCAGAGAGAAAACTTTAGGCTTCATAAACTCTATACCATAACCTCTGTGAAAACATGGAGATCTGGCAATAAATTCATACACAGACATATATCTAATCTTCTCTAATCTCCATCCTGGGGAAGGGTTGGGCTATACCCAGAAATGCAAGTGTGTGTGTGTGTGTGTGTGTGTGTGTGTAGTTTGTTTGCTTAGGGCCACACCCACTATACTCAGGAGATGCCTGAGGAGACTGAACTCAGGCTGGCTGCATGCAAAATGAGTGCCTCAATTGCCCTGCTGTACTTTTACTCTGGCCCTAACATGTATACATTTAAAGACCAAATTTTAAAACTAAATGGCATTTTGATGGGAGGAGCGAAAAGAAAGTTATCAGGTTCCTAAGAATTCAGACACAAATGCATGAAATGATCAAGACACCAAGAAGGGTAAGAACTGAGATTGCATTCTCTCGGTGACACACACATAACTTGTTAGTTCCGAGCACGGATGAACCGGTGACCATTCATACAGCCAGCAAGTTTAGGAAAAAGTACGTTTTTACCATTCGTGGCTTCAGTGCAACTGTCTCTAGGCATTACAGTGAGGAGGGTCTTATGAAATCACTAGCAAAGCTGAAATTTCTCTCCTCTAAATCCTCTATCCCTACTGCCTTAAAGGATCCTAAAAATGGATGGGTTAAGGCAGGAGCGAGAGTACAGCGGGGAGGGTGCTTGCCTTGCACATGGCAGCCCAGGGCTTATCCCGGGCACTCAGTATGGTCCCCTGGGCCCCTGGTAGGATTGATCCCCGAGCGCAGTCAAGAGTTAGCCCTGAGCACCACAGGGCGTGACCCCCACAAAAGCAGCAGAATGCCAAACGCAGTTTCTCAAAGAGCGCCTTTTCTCTGTCTTCCTGATTGCAGCAAATGGAATTCACCCTGAAACTGACACAGTATCAATTTTGCCCGAGTCTCTCCTCTCCACCAGGGCAAAGGGGACAGGCCGTCCAAGTTCATTGCAAGTGCTGCCTCCCTCCCCACCCCACCCCCGCACTTCCCCCCCACTACCAGAAAAACTCGTGCAAACAAAAAAAAAATTTTTTTAAATAATACTGGGTTTGTCTGGCTGAGTTTCTGCTAATTTCTATCAGTAAAAAAAAAAAAAAAAAAAAAACCAACAGAAATACCCAGATCAAACGCTCAAGTATGAGTTCTTCTTAAAAGTTGCTTTGATCAAGTGTAAAGGACACAAAAGCCCATTGAGAGAAATAAATCTCCGCCCCGTGACCTGCATCCCGGGGTCCCAGCCGCACACGTCCCTCCACCCCAGCGCCCGGGGCTGGTTAGACGCCTGAAAGCCACGCGCTCTCCTCCACCTGCAGCGCACGCAGGGGGAGGACAGGGGACCTCACCTGTGATGGTCACGATCCCCAGCATCCTGAACAGCGCGCCTCCAGGGCCCAGACCTTGCAGGCTGGCCGGGCTCAGAGAGAAGCAGGCGCCAAGCCACCCTCGGAGGACTCGGGAATACGAGCGGTACCTCGACAGCGGCTGCAGCGAAAAGCTGGGAAGGGGACGCTGGGCGCCGACTAATTATAGGCCGCCCCGCCCCGCCCCCAGTAGGCGGGCACGAGTCCCGCCACGCCCCACCACCAATGAGCGGGTGCATTGATCCGACCACGCCCACAATGGGAGGCTGTTGTGTGGGCCACGCCCCCTTGATGGGCGGGGGTTTGTCCAGCCCCGCCCACCCCGGGTCAGGTTTCAAGCCGCTAGTCCAGCGGGTAGCGCGTAGCAGCTCAGCTCCGAGGTGTGGGGAGGCCCGGCGGGAGTGGGTGGGTGGGTGGGGGGGGAGCTGCAGGCGGGAGCAAGGCCCGGCGTCAGCAGGATTTTTATCTCGACTTACATCATTCCTGGCACCGGTGCGCTTCTGCATCCCAGCTTCCCCTCGCACGTACGGGGGAAGGAGCCGCGCACAGAGGAAATCCTCCCGCACAATCTTTTCTGGCTGCGCGCTGTGGGCTGGGATCGGCTTAAAGGCGGGGGGCTGCATCCCGAGATTCCCACTGTAGCCCCAGAGGAGGGAAATCTGTTTGCATCGTGTTTGAAAAGCCCCCCCCACCCCCCAAAACGCGCGCGCCGTGGTGCGTAGGCCACCCTGGGTGCGTCTGGGCTCCCGAATTTGTCTTCTTTCCCTTCTTTCCTCCTTCTCCTTGTAGCAATTGGCCCCAAGCTTGCAACTTCTAAATCTTGCAACAACGCAGATCCTCCGAGATCGCAAACCACACCGCCTGGAGAAGGGTCATCGTACTTGTGAAACTCTCAGAAGATTTTCAGGCAGCCCTAAATTCTTGCAATCTTTCCCTCTTGGAACTTCAGACTGTTCTATTTTTTGTTTTGTTTTTCTCGCTTACTTTGGGGGCCCATACCGGTGATGCTCAGGGCTTACTCCTGCCTCTGCACTCAGGAATCACTCTCAACCGTGCTCAGGGGACCATGAGGGGGACTGGGGATGGAATTTTGCTCTTGCGTCGCCCAAGAGCAAGGCAGGGGCCCACCCCGCTGTCCACTCTCTCCACCCCGAAATCTCAGAATGTTCTGAGAGCTGATAGTGGTCCCTCTGGGTGTCAGTGGGGTGGGCCCCCTTCCCATTTCCCCTTATCTTCCTCTCCATCACTTAATGCCCAGCTTGTCTGACCTTCCCCCCCCCTACCCCCCCAATAGCACCTGCCCTTCCCTTAAGCCAACAAACAAACCAGAAAGGCTTTTTGCTTCTCTCTTCTGGGATCTCGCTCATTGCTGTTTTAATGGGCGAGTGGGTGCCTGGGTTGGGCAAATGGATCGAGTGGAGGTAAAAGGAGGCACGTGGTGGCGGGGGAGCTGATCAAGAAGGGAGAGAAGCAGAACAACCCCCCCCCCCCCCCCCCCCCGCACATGTGGACCGACAGACTGGCGCGCACGGCGCGCGGCGGCTCCCATGGCCAGCAGGGGGCGCAACGTACCATAAGTAGCCTTATACCAGCATCACGCAAGCACCCCCGGGAGGAAAAAGGCCTTGTTGAACATTCAGCTGGGGCCTCTCCCTAGGGCTTCCCAGCTTCTATTCCAGCAAACACGCGGCCGAGAAGGGGGAATGGGGGGCACCCCAGTCCGTGTGGAAAGGAGGAGCTGTGTGCCTTGTTCTGATGCCTGGATTCCCAGAACAGACCATTGTGCTTATCCTCCCCCTGGAGAACTTGGGTTCACCAATGGCTTCAATTATCATGTGTGCCCCAAGAATAGCCGAGATAAGTACCTGGAGGTTCACTCCATGGCTTGGAGGCCAGTCGCACATGCTAGGGGAAAAGGCAGCTCAGATAGAGAAGGGAGCACCGCATAAAGGATGTTGGGAGGATCCTCCCAGGATGGGAGAAGCGTGCTGAAAGTAGACTCTAGACCGAACATGATTGCCACTCATTGCCTCTTTTGCAAACCACAGCACCCAAAAGGAGAGAGAGAACAAAAGGGAATACCCTGCCACAGAGGCAAGGTGGGATGGGGGGGGATGGGGGTGGGAGGGATACTGGGATCAGTGGTGGTGGAGAATTGTGTGAGATTGTACCTCTGCAAACTCACGGGTCTTTCCTTAGCTATCACTCCATCCCTGCTTGTCTCCTTTCCTTAAATCAGAGTTGTGGGGGGAAGAGGGAGAGAGAGGTGTGGGCTGTGGAGGAGTCATCACCCAAAGAAAAACCATAAAGAAATCTTTACATTCTCTTCAATAGGAAGCCAGGGGCAGGGAAATACCACAGGGGTTAAAGCACTTGCATCTGACCCCCATTCAAAACCCAGGCACCACCTGTGGTCCCCAGAGCCTTTCTAGGAGATCCCTGAGCACAGGACCAGGATTAAGCTCTGAGGACCACCACAGGTGTGACCCAATCCACCTCCTCCCACACACACCAAATGGGGGGCTTGCCAGAAATGAAGTCCCCTCCCAAATCTGCCTGCTCCTTTCTTTACTAGCTAAGCGCTGCTCCAGGAGCACATGGCGAAATACTGAACTAAGGTCTGGCATCCTGCCCCAGTGGTGGCCTGGAGTGATTCCTGGCTTTGAGCTCAGGAGTAACTCTTGGCAGTATATGGGGTAGATGTGATGTGTGTATTCTCATCAAGCTGTAGCAGCCCAGCTGCGGACAAGGCAAGCACCTCCCCTCCTGAGCTATCTCTAGCCTCGACCAGGGTCCTTCACAGGGGCAGAAATCCCATTTTACAAGGTGGAAAGCATTTTTTTCTTTTCTTTTTTTTGCATTTTGGGTCACACCTGGTGATGCATAGGGGTCACTTCTGGCTCTGTACTTAGGAATTATCCCTGGCGGTGCTCAGAGGACCATATGGGATGCTGGGAATCAAACCTGGGTCGGCCGTGTGCAAGGCAAATGCCCTCCCTGCTGTGCTATCGCTCCAGCCCCAAGGTGGAAAGCATGTCGGGCATGTCCGTCCACCGTGAATAATCAGAATGTCTGTCACAGATTAAATGCAGTGAAGACAACAACTTGTTTGGTGTCACACCCAGCAATGCTCAGGGGTTACTCCTGGCTCTGTATTTGGGGAAGCAAATACTCTGCCCACGGAATGGTTGCTGTGGCCGCTAAGATAGGGTCCACTCTGAGACTCCCCTCCCGCCCCAGCAGGTCCACTGGGCAAACTCATGGAAAAGAAACATTAATATCAGAGGCAGGAGAGAGAGAACAGGGGCACAGTACTGGCCCTGTGTGCAGCTGACCCTGGTCCAATACCCGGCACTGCCAGGAGTCCTCAAAGACTACTGGTATGGCCCAAAAAACAAAGGAAGAAAAAAGAAAGTGACACCTTGGCCCCAGCATCCTTCAGAGACAGCCACTGTCCCCGGGTTCTGCTTGGACACAGTTTCCTGCCCACTTTCAGAGGACACAGCATCTGAAAGTGGGCATATCACTTTTCAGAAAGTACCTCCATCCTTCAGGTATGCGAAAGACTCAGCAACAAAATAAGCAACTGTGGGAGGTTGGGAGACCACTGGAGATTCTCCGAGAGAGCAAAAAAAAAAAAAAAAAAAAAAAAAACACATCCCCGCAGCCAAGGAGAAAACAGGGTACTTCAAAAGGACTATTTACAGGGACCAAAAAAGGAGTTCTGAGAAGTGAAACACAGTAACAAAATGGAATCTAGTCAAGGACAGCTTCCCAGAAAAAAAGAGCCAAAATGCAAGGCAATTTTTTTTAAAAAAGGGGGGGAGAAGGGGGGTGTTATTTTGTTTGTTTTGGGGCCACCCTGCCAAGGTGAGCGGGAATTGCAGTCTCCCACCTGCAAAGCATGCACTGCTGTGCCCCCCCCCCCCGGGGGGGCTCTCCCACCCACTTTTTCTCAATTAGGATCATTGGAGAAGGTCTAAATTCTGACTGCCAATTCTGTCAAGAGAACGCTGAGGGAATGGAAGAATTTCCCAAACACGAGTTTTCGGTCTGAAAGAGCCATGGGAACACCAAGGGATGAAGACTAGAATGACGTGGGGGTGTGTCACTACAAGGTGCTGGGAAGTCAAGGGCAAAGGGAATTAGCGGCTGTTCAAGCCGTGAAGAGTCAGAACAGCCTCCAACCCCAACGGCAGAAACACATTGGCACTACGACAATTCTCTTGGGGTTGTCACTGGAAGGAAATGAACAGTACCAATGAAGTGTGTCCAGACCAGAAGGTGACACTTTATTTTTTTCTGCTTTTTTGGGTCACACCCAGCGATGCTCAGGGGTTACTCCTGGCTCTGCACTCAGGAATTACTCCTGGCGGTGCTCGGGGGACCATATGGGATGCTGGGAATCGAACCCGGGTCAGCCGCATGCAAGGCAAAAACGCCCTACCTGCAGTACTATCGCTCTGAAGGTGACACTTTCACACAAGCTTTGTCTCCTGTGTTCCTTTTCCACAAGGTGTCCAGAGTCGGGCCAGAACCCTAATGACAGAATTCTCCTTTCACTACAGCCAGCAGTGATCTGAGTGTGGGAATTCTCTTCTGTTGCAACAGTATCAGGGAAGATTGTCTGCATCTGGTCATGTTGCAGGAGAGGCAGTCAGGTGAGGGCTAATTCTTGCATTAGAAACACACACCCAGTACTAGAGAGATCAGACAGGTGTTTCCCTAGCGTATGGCTGACCCCGGTTCCATCCCGGGCACCGTCTACAATTACTGTGCACTGCTAGGAACCACAAGGTGTGACTCCAACATGAGCCGCCCCTACACCCTCCAAAATAAAGCAAGCTATATCCCAGGCCAGGAAAGATAGCTCCAAGCACCCTATGCATTCAAACACCCTGATCTGAATCCTGGTGCAGAGCTTATACCCCTGAGAACAGCTGAGTGTGGCCCCCCCAAAAAGAAAGAGAGAGACAGAGAGAAAGAGAGAAAGAAAGATAGAGAAAAAAAGAAAAGAAGGAGCCAGAGCTATAGTACTGCAGGTAGGGCGTTTGCCTTGCACACGGCCAACCCGGGTTCAGTCCCCGGCATCCCATACAG